CCAGGACCTGGCGGCCGAGCTCCTGGGGCTTGACGGGCGGGACCCCGGCCCGCGCTGGTCGGCCTCGCGCCCTCAACCCTGACCCCTGCGCTCCACCTTCTGATCCTCCTCTTCTGTGTCTTTGGGACGCCCACTTGGTGGTGAGAGGCGGGCAGGAGGCTGAAGAAGGGAACTGGGGGTTGGGATGGTCTATGCGTGTGTGAAAAATAAGGTACTGGCAGGAACTCTGCTCGACAGAACCCTCTGGACTAGGCCCTAGATTCTGGAGAGCCAAGATTTTGAGGTGTGCTTGGCCACATCCGGTCGCCTGTTTAGTGAGGCACAGCACCAAGGGCATACTTAACAGTACTGCATTTTAAGGGAAATGGCAGGAGGTCCTTGCAAGGCCTGAGTGTACCTAGAATCTCATGATGTATGGTGCATTGCAGGGAAGGGCACAAGAGCAGAACATTGGATTTGGCGTTTACAGTAGTGGGTGTAGTGATACCACTGTTGTGGGTCTCTTAAAACACCTTTTCATTAGAGCATCTGCAAAGCTGTTTTACAGACACAAATCTCCATTATTTTCCTGAGCCTGCCAGATATTCAAAGTAAAAGCTGGGCCTAGGATTCCTGACCGTCCTGCTGTCTATTTTGGGAGAACTTGGTTTACTGCTAACACCTTGTAGTTCTTGCAAATGTCATTATTTCAAGAGTAGGATTTTAAAACTGATTTTTTGGTGACACTACCAAATTGGGTAAAGTTTAGTCTTGGTCTTTTCCATTTAACGACAGTAGTAAAAGATATTCTAGCATTCAGGTGGTGCAAAGAATGAAAGATGAAATGTGAGTCTGCAGCCTTTAATTAAAGTCCTAAAAAACATAATGGCTTATTTCGTCGCAGTACTGTAATTTATTTGTTTTGTTTCTCAGTTAAAAGAGACTAATAACACTGTAGCCTGCTTTTTGCTATTCAAGGGCAATGTGAGGCATCGGTAAATAACATGTTTAGGAAGTGCTCTGATTGGTTTGGAAGAAAATTGAGACGTGTAGTTTATCCTGGGTTCTTTTCACTTGTCAGGGTCAATAAATTTGGTAATATTTCAGTTATTTAAAAAGCAAACTCAGAAACTGTTTTCTGCTCTTGGGTTAGGTTCTACTTATTCATGTTGAGAGTATGTATTTTTATTTTAGGAATTTTGATAATTTGCATTCATTCTGAACCTTATTTTTTGACCATTATTCAGCATTATTGGGCATCAGGTGAGCCATATAAGCAGCAATTTTCTGGAGAACTCTCTGGTTTAATTTTTACTGCCTTTATCCACAACCACTGATGTATCCTTTCCCTGCTTTTTTCTGAACCAAGCTATATTTTTATGCTTAGTGCTTTTGCATGGATTTCATTTTTCCTTTAATGCTTTGATCTCCATTCTCTACCTATTGTAATCCTTGTTTTTCAATGTCTTATGCTATGAGGATGCTCAAACTTATAAAAATTTCAGCTGTGTGCAGTGGAAATCTCTTAAATATGTCTTTGCCTTTTTAGGGGTCGTCATTGTGAATACCGACTATTCATTGAATCATGATGTATTTGTGTCTTCAGAGGTTGCTGAGATAGGCCGGCTGTTCTCTGAAATGTTAGGGATACTGCTGTGTATTAAATTTCATTTTGCATGCTTGTTAGATCCTCTGCCTCTTCCACATTATGCTACTTCCTTTTTGCTGCTTTCATTCAGTTTGCCTGAAATAGTTCCTTTTTTCACGTCGTCATAGGCTATGTGTTGGAAACCACCTACTGGGTGTGCTACACATGTGATTGTCATCCATCCGAGACTTTAAAGCACTAGATAATATTTATTCCCTTTTGATACCTGGAAGCTGAGATTTAGAGATGTTAGTTCACTGGGCAATGATCATGTAGGTCAGTGCTAGCAAAATTGGAAATCTAATTCATGTTTCCCAAACTTCTTTACATTATTTTGTGATAGCAGAAATGTTTCTTGTTCAGATGGGAATTATCCTCCAGTGGGAAATTAAGAAGCACTTTTTTGGTTGTTATAATGATTGGGACTAGCCACTAGAATTTGATGGGTGGGCCAGGGTTGCTGTACTTTTTGGAATATGTGGAACAGTCCTGAACAAAGCATGTCCCTGTGTCCTGTAGGAGTTAGGAATATTTTGACTGACATTCATATAATCTTTATAATTGTCTGAGCTTAGAACCTCCATTTTACATATAAAATAATAGCTTCAACTCAGATTGAATTTTCCACTGTTTCCACATCCAACTGTTGTGTAAACTGAAGGAAGATTTATTTTGCTTACTGCCTTGGATAATTTCATCACAAATAGCTTTGCATTCGTAGTTATCATACTCAGCTATTAATTATTTTTGTAAGTCATCTATCGTAGTTTTGCCTGAGCATTGAAATACATATTTTATTATTATAAATTAGTTTTACTTTTTTTATTTTTCATTTTATTGAGGGTATATGGATTTGTTTGAAATTATCTGTAGGAAGATTATTATTAATTTCAGGATGGTAAAGCAAAAGAAAGTATTTTATGGAAGGGGCATATTGAGTCTGATGTGGTTGAGAACAATCCGTATAAAATAAAAGCAGCTTTGTCTCAGGAGAATTTTTCTTGAAAAGTTCCCAGATTTTAGTGGTGGGTGTTTTTAATTTCTGTGTATTGGACTATGACTCAGTTGAGATCTGCTAATAAGTGGCAATTAGATAAGTACATCACTGTGTAAGGTTTCTGATCAGAAGATAGAAAATTATTTCTTAGGTATGGAACTTAATTGTTTTGTTTTCATACATGTTAGTATTCATGCTTTGTGCTGTGGATTACTTCGCTGTGTTCTGCAAAGACTTCTCTTGTTATTGAGTTAAATCATGGTGGGAGGTAGCATATGTAGGGCAAAGGACATTCTCTCAGGAGACATTTCTACCACTACTAATGTGACATTTGCTGAGTCATACTGTTTCTTGTGGAATAGGAGTGATTATGTTATGATGAACAAATGTAAGTGATTTTAAAACATAAGGGTAATTAATTAGACTCCAGTAAAAACATTGCTTTTTCTTCTACATCTTAGTTTTCCTGGGATATATGTGCCTCTTTTGCATATTAAAGGAGTTCATTTATTAGCAAATCAGCAGAGAATGGGAAAGTACCTCGGAGAGGAGGTGGTGAGAGCAGAGTTATAGGGTACAGAGGTAATACCTAATCCATATAATAGGTCACCTTTCCATTTCTAGTGGGAGAGTATTTTCAATAGCTTAAAAATATTTGTATTTGGAGAAAGGCTAAAATTAGTAAATGTTTCTCTTTAAGAGCTGTTTAGGGAGAATATCTTAAAAAGACTGAATTAACAGGAGAAAAGTGTTCTTTCCTCATCTTCTAGGTGAATATCTTTTTTCTCTCAGGCTATCTGCTTATGGTTTATGGTTAAGACAGGTCAAGTTTGGCATTTGACATTGAAATTGAATTATAAAGAAATGATACTGAAAATACAATGATCAGATTGCCGTAGAATAGAAAGATGAGAATCTGATTATGTATTCACTATAGGTATTAATAGATAAAGATAGGTACTAGCTAACCATCAGTGACAAAAGCAGCTGACTGTAGTGGCTCACGCCTATAATCCCAGCACTCTGGGAGGCTGAGGAGGGTAGATTGCTTGAACTCAGGGGTTTGAGACTAGCCTGAACAAGACTGAGACCACACCCCATCTCTTCTTGTGGCAGGTGCCTGTGGTCCCAGCTACTCTGGAGGCTAAGGCAAGAGAATCACTTGACCCCAAGAGTTTGAGGTTTCTGTGAGCTGTGACGCCATGGCACTCTACTGAGGGCTACAAAGTGAGACTCTAAAAAAAAAAGACAAAAGCAAAGTACAGGGTGTCCCAAAAGTTGTCATATATAGGGAAAATTGCATAGCAACAAGTGTCAGAATGTGTTCACCATGAGTAGGAGAGGACTTCATGGGTGTGTATAGAAAGAGGTGGTCAACGCATAGAGAATATTTTGTAAATAAAAGTACATTTAGCTGCTATTTCCCATTTCTCCCTACATACAGGGACACTCTGTACATCTGTGATGGCTAGATCTAGGGACAACATGCAGTAAGGAATTGACCTTATCTATGGTTTATGGATTTAAGGTAGTAGCCTTAACTATAATGCTTAAGGATTTAGACTGAAAAAAGAATTTTTTTTCCTTCAGGGTAAAAGATTTTATTTGTTGTTGTTTGTTTGTTTTTGAGATAGAGTCTCTCTTTGTTGCCCTTGATAAGAGTGTCATGGTGTCAGAGTTCATGGCAACTTCAAGCTCTTGGGCTCAAGTGGTCTTCTTGCTTCTGCCTCTTCAGTAGCTGGGATTACAGGCACCTCCTATTTACAGAATTACAACACCTGGCTATTTTTTAGAAGCAGGGTTTCCTTCTTGCTCAGTCTTGTGTCAAACTCCTGACCTCAATCAATCCACTTGCCTCAGCCTCCCAGAGTGCTAGGATTGCACACATGAGCTACCGTGCCAAGCTTAAAAGATAGTTTTGTGTATATTTGAGGTACTTTCATTATTCATTTAAAATAAAATTGATTAAAATGATTTTAAACTCAAAATAGGTTTATGATTTCAGGTATTCAGGTACATATGGGGTTTATAGTATAATTTCCTAAATATGAAATATTTGATGACCCCGCTATGTCTGGTAAGCAGAACTTTAAAATTTTTTTCATTTATGTTTTAAGCGTTAATTTAAAGCACACAGAATAAAGTTCAAAAAGCAAACAGTGAAAAATTAGTCCTTTTTTTCTTCCCTGTCGCTGACTACCCAGTTCCCTTCACAAACTCTCTTCCTAGTTTTTTTTTTTTTTTTTCACCTTCAAAGTAAA